GGGGTGAGGGGGTGAGGGGGTGCCGAGATCGCATCTTGGATCGTGCGCTGTGAACGAGTGGCTCCTGTGGCGCCCATGACGCTATGGGGGACTGCGGGCCCCGCTATAGCTGCGTGCTGCCAGCTGACCCGCAGCTGCAGCTGTCGCTGCCGCCTCCCGCACAGCTGAACCCCGTCTCTTGGCACTTGGCAGTCCTTGCTGGCCCCTCCATCGTCAAATCGTGCTCTCCCGCCACTGTACCAAACTTTCGCCCACAACTTCCCCAATCCTCCCCCATCCACACACTGCCCTCAGCCGCGCCGCACTCAGCCCTCCTGCCCCTGGATTGGGTCCCCCAAACCCCTTTCACCCCTTCAGGCCTTGCTGACCCTCCACACTCCACTCCAGCCCCGGTCAAACCCGGTCAACCCAGCCGTATCCAGGGTCGCCCCTCACCCGACGGGCAGGATCATGAACTCCTGCATGGCCAGGCCGTTGCCCGCGTGCTCGCCGCCGTTGATCACGTTGAAGGACGGCACGGGCAGCACCTGTCAAGGCGCGGCGAGGGCAGGCGGACGGGCGCGGCGCAGATCAGGGCGCCGGACGCCCGATGGCCGACGGGCCCCTCTAGATTGCTGGCAATGGCGCACTGCGGACTACAGTCCACACGTGCTGGGCTCTGGGCCGCCTCCGCTGCCTCTGCCGCCTTTGACTGTGTCAGGTGAACCGCCAAGGAGAACCCCGCTCTGGCAGCCAGCCGCGGCCGATGCCAAGCGAGCGCCGCTGCGGCCTGTGCACCGCCCCTGCTCCCTGCTCCCCTCCCGCTCGCCCCGGGGCCCTCACCAGCTTGGTGCTGCCGGCCAGCTCGGCGATGTACTTGTACAGGGGCAGGCCCTTCTCGGCGGCGCCGGCCTGCGCGCATGGAGCAAACAGCAATTGACCCCTGCCGCCCTCAGCAATACCTCCGCACCTGGCACTGCGCCGCACCCGCCCGCACCGCATCATCATTTGCACTTGCTGCCTTGCGTCCTCGCGCACCAAACCACCGTTTAGATCCCTGGGCAGCGGCCGCTGCGCTGCCGCCAGGCAGCGCCGTCCCCAGCGCCCGGCGGCCGCGGCCCCGACTCGCCTTGGCGATGGCCATGGACACGGCCAGGATGGCGTTGGCTCCGAGCTTGCCCTTGTTGTCGGTGCCGTCCAGGGCGATCATCTGCTCGTCCAGGCCCTTCTGGTCGGTGGGGTTCTTGCCCTGGTGGTGCGGTGGGCACGATTCACGGGCAGGACAAATGAGCGGATCTTGTGTGCTGTGAGCGGGCTTTGTACGCGGGACCAGATAAGCCGGGGGTCGCGCATGAGCTGGGGCGCATGCGGAGTGCTGAGAGCTTGAGCCGCGATCGCAGGAACTCCATGCGAGCCGTCGCAGGCGGCCTTGGCTGTTTCCGGCGCATGGCAGTCCCCGGACTGCGCCGCATTTGTCCAGGCCGCCCGCCCGCCCGTCCGCGCCAGCCACGCACGATGATGGCGGGGGCGATGACGTCGTTGACGTTGGCGACCGCCTTGAGCACGCTCTTGCCCATGTACCTGCGCGCAGCCACGCACAGTGGCGCAGGGGCGCGTGCACGCTGCAGTTGAGCGTCGCCTCTCTGCCACGCAGCCGGGCCGCCGCGTGCTGCCCAGGAATTTGGCCTAGACTTGATTTTGACTGCAGGCAGTACCAAGCAGCTGCCGGGGTTGGCGAATGGCAGGTTTGACAGCGTGCATGGCGCGGCCGTCACTACAACCAACCGCACACGCACTTGCTCTTGTCGCCATCGCGCAGCTCGACCGCCTCGTGGATGCCGGTGGATGCGCCGCTGGGCACAGCCGCGCGGAAGACGCCCTTGCCGGTCGTCACCTCGGCCTCCACGGTAGGGTTACCACGGGAGTCGAAGATCTGACGTCCGACAACCTTGGTGATCTCCGGGGGAGTCGCCTTGAGCAGCTCCGCGGCCTATACAAGAGCGCAAAAGTACGCGATCGACGTAAAGAATGCGTTCCGATATTGAACGGGCCCGCCAGCGGACTGTGAACGCCATCTAGGGCTGGGCACTCCGCCGGCTCACCATGAATGCCAGGGGATCGGAGGGCTTCTCCTTCACGCAGGAGTTGAGGACGTCCTCAACCTTCTTCTGCAGGCCTGCATCGGCATGGCACGCGGGGAAGCCGCATTTGGCGTGGAGCACATGCCAGCCATCCGAGAGCGTCCCCGACACGCCCGCTCAGCGGCTTAATCACCATGCTTATCGATGTACTCCTGGATGGGGGTAGCAGTGGCAGCCATGGTGCTGGTCGGGGTTGGTGATCTGCGAGCCCTGTTGGAAAGCGCAGGACGGGTGGCGAGGGCTAGACGATAGGTGCAGTGTAAAGGCCTGCACGAGAGCATCGAAGTCACAATGTACAATCGGGGTAATAATTCTGAGAAGGTGGGCGAGTCGCAATTTGTCTACGGTAGGCGTGCGTTTCATCGCCGCACCTTTTCCCTCAGCACGCCCTCCCACAGAGCTGCGACCTGTCGAATTAGATCTTGAGACTGCTTGCGGCAGGTAACAGGGCCAATGTGCTATCGCTGCCGGCTGTGCGTTGACCCAGCCGCAACCCGACCCTGGCCGCGGCTCCGCCCAATGCTGGGAGCATCAACGGCAGCCCAGAAAATTCCTGAACAGCATCTCAAGGCCTCCCGCCTCGTCAAAACCGCGCCCGCACGCACCAAGCTCGACATTTACAGCCATTGCATATGCAAAACTCTGCAAGCACGGCGGCTCGGCCCGCCCAGCGCGCCGGTCAACAGCCGGCGGCCACGCACAGCGCCCGTGCCCGCGCGCCCCGGGATCCGCGCCGAATCACAGTATCTTGTTGCGCATGTCCTCGAGCTTCTTGAGCACCTCCCCGGGCGTCCGCTCCAGCTCGTCCGCCACCGCCTTCTGCTTGGCCGCGGGCATGGAGGGGAACTGGCCGCAGAGGTCTCCGTCGACGCAGTGGCGCACCGGGAAGTAGGCGCTGCGGAAGGCCATGTGGTCGCGGCCGGACAGGGGCGGGTGCTCCTGGCGCAGGTGCATCTCGAGGTGCAGGAAGAAGTCCATGTCCTGGGGTGGGGCCCGGGGCCGGGGTTTGGGACGGGGTCAGGGTCAGGGTGGGGGTAGAGGGGCAGGGTGAGGAGAAGGGGGCCCCCGGGTTGCGCATCCACCAAGCGTGCGAGTCGGACGAGCGCCGCGTGGGGCCCGCTGCCTGAGCAAAGGCGATTGGGAGGTTGCCGGGCGGAGCTGCATGTAGGCCGGACGGCTTGCGGACGCATGCAGGGCGGCGAAAGGGTGCCGGCGTCATCCCGAAAGCAGCTCTTCGCAGGCGAGCGCAGGCGCAAGCGTGCGCGCCGGCCCCCTGCCCACCTCCTTCGACGCGAAGGGGTAGAGCGCCCCCACGCCGCCCATGATGGTCCCGTACAGCAGCGACTCGCTGCCGCCCGGCTGCAGCGTCGCGCGCTGCAGGGAGGTCACCGTGTCGCCGACGTGGAACTGCACGATGGGCTCCACCTTGTTGGCGGCGCCGTTGAGGCGGCCCAGGGTGGACGCGTTCTTGCCGCCGGTCGGGTCCTCCTCCACCTGCAGTTGAGGGCGGAATGATTGATTGCTTCCACTGCAAGACCCCTCCCTCCCGATCCGCCACACCATCGGCATCCACGCGCGTCCAGTCGCAACGGCACAAGCCTGGGAGGCGCGCCTAGGAGGCACGGTCTGCACCCTGCTCGGAAAAACCAACACGCGGAGGCCGCGCCCCACCTGCGCCGAGACGTCTGCGGGCAGCCGCAGCACCGAGAGGTTCCCAAACTTGTCCGCGACCGCGACCGTGTCGTAGTCCAGCGGCAGCGTGGCCGTGACGTAGCGCGGGGTGGCGTCGTCGGCGAAGACGTAGAAGGTGTTGTCGCGCTTGTTGTAGCGCAGGAAGTGGACAGACTCCTGTGCAGCCGAGACGCGTGAGGGCGGGGAGGGAGGGGGGGGGCGAGCGTGATGGCGGTTGGAGGGAGATGGGCGGGCGCCTTCAAGGAGAGTGCGCTGCGCCTGCAAAGCAGGGCAAGCGCGCAGCCGCGCCGCCCCGTCGGTGATCAAAGGGGCGGCACAGGCACGCCGTTCCGAGGCCAGCCCCCTCTCACAACCGCCCTCTGCTGCTGGAAACACACCAACCCCTTCCGCCCCACCCCGGCAAGCCCTGAAAAACATCCTGCACTGCATGCCCCAACGCCGCGGCCCGCTCGCCTGCACGTCCGACGCGTAGACGCGCGACCCCATGGCCTGCAGCTGCACCACGTGGTGCGGCAGCTGCCGGTACTCGCACTTGCGCAGCAGCTTCCTGCGCCCGAGGTCGAACAGCCGCAGCACGGGGCCGACGCCGGCGAGCAGGCGGCCCTTGAAGGGCACCAGGGCGCCGGGGATGCCCTCCAGCTGCGTCTTGTGCAGCAGCTCGAGGCGGGACCCCTCGTCCAGGATGCTGCGAGGTGCGTGCGTGTAT